AACTTTAAAATATATTAAAAGAAGGATGCAATTGAAATTATTTAATCAGGAAGCCGTTTAAATTTGGATAGGGTAAGTGCAAATGCAAATACGTTTAGTATGTCAAAAATTTGTATTTAATACAGAATATTTTAATTAAAGAATCCATAATTATAAATGTCATTATAACTTTTAGGCATATCTTTATCAATAAACACACAAATGACCTTCATGTTATTGCAGGATACAATACAATAGAACGTTAAAATGGGATTGAACCTACCAAGGTTATTAATTTAATCGCACATGTTTTTGCACACTTTTATAGCATAGAACGTGTTGTTTTACAATTTGATGTAGGTAATAAGGCAACAACGTAGTTTCGCGTTGGAAGTTACGAATGGTCATATTGTTACAAATGTTACATGAGCCTAATCATTATGAGCATATAACTGTAATTTAGATCATAACGTATTTAACGATGTTATCTGATATTTAGATTACACAGGAATGATCTTGAACGCAGCGTTGCGGTTGATAATAGCAACGGTGTAAGATATATCTGGTTAAGTAATTAATAAGACATGGAATATTTTTCTCAACAGTTCATCTCGAAACTGCCAATAATAAAAACATATTTGCATAACCTCAGCGAACTCCAAGAGTACATGTGAAAAGTGTGATTGATGAACAATACAAATTAATTTGGTTGATAATGACGGCAGCGGAATAAAGCCGGAAAGTACGAGTGGTGTAAACAAACAGTCGTCGCGGTGTCGCCCACTGATGGCGGAACTGAAATAATGCCGCCTCCATTCGATTTGCATGTCACTCAATGACTGTCACGTCGAAAGGAGAAAATGAGAGCAAATGCCAAAATTTACCAGTTTTATTGGGCACATCAAGATAAACTTATACTTATATTCGTGCAAGCGTATATAAATAATATTAACGAAGTTTACATTACTAAAGTGAGTTATGAAAGTTGCAACTAATGCCTTTTATTCAAATCTCCATTTTAATATGCTGATTTTTAAGTAAACATAATACAGAATACAGAAAAAATTACGTGAATAAGTGGAAAAAAAATTTCTTATACGAAGAAATGAAAGAAATGCTTTAGATTCCCCAACTAATGATGTTTTAGTGTTTCTTGATCCATTAAAGGACATACCCTTGCTGCTGTAAGCGGAGATACATATAGTGTGGAATAAGTACGTTTTACGGCAATAAATATTGTATCTAATATAGTACGAGCAATTGCTTGTTGACCTGTTTACTATGCGCATTCCGTAAAAGTCAATCAAGGTGAAACATTAATGTGCCAAGTGAGAGGTATTTGGCGAAACGTAAGACGCCGGCTGGTGACATACAACACCGACCGATTTCACACGAACAGAGATCAAATATCGTGCATTACAAATCTGCCTACACGTGGTACGCAAATGTGTACTCAATACATTGTCAATTGCAAAATGTATCTCGGAGTCGAAACATTTTAGTTCGAATCTGTTACGATTGTATTTCATCTTATTTTACCATTTTTGTTATTTTGTCTAACACATTTGTAATTACCGATAATCTAATGTTGCTCCGACCCAAGTTAGCGGTATTCGCTGGTGCGACACCAATGGAGGATGGTAGTCAGGTCCGTTAGTCCATTTTGCGATATCACACATTCGATTCGTGTCAGAAGCCAATCTGGGAACTTGGATCTTTTTATTCAAATGTACTGTTGTAAACAGAGCAAAGTTTATTTGCTACTCTTTATAGCACAATTACGATAAATGTTATAGATACAAGTACATTGACTTCGAAGATGTAGCATCCTCTAACATCTATCACAAAGGCATTTTTTGCTTTAAACCTTTGATATTCTGGTAGGATATTCCTATGCAGATTTATATTATATAGTCAATATACCTAGCAATTAATTTTACGGCACTTATTTGGATAGTCCATGTAAATATTCGCCATGTTTATTTGCGAGTTCATTGCCACTGATACGGCATTCGGTAATGCCTTATCTTGTTACCGTTTAGTTTATTTGGACAGTATTACGAGTAAAAACAGTGTGTTATTTTATAGTAATTTCTTATTCTTTGTTTGTCCATGATATTTCTGTTCTTAGTGACGCGGTACTCGTTTTAAATATATATACCGTATTCAGAAAAAACTCTAAAGTACTGTATATTTTAAATTCCCTCAGTGTAGCTTGCAGAAACTCAGAAATTACTGAGTATGAAATAGAAATAGAATTTTGAATAGTCATACATTTGATTCTACCACTCATTTGGAACGCAGATTCATCAGAAGAAGAATGAGCAAGAAACGAATGTTGCTCTTTTGATTAGATGTTTTATATAAATTATTACACTATTATAAGTAAGAGGCATGCGATAATCAACACAGAAATCGCTACGCACTCATTCTTAGTGCAATCAGATAATATTGTCAGTGCTATAGATTTTAAGTTTTTCTGATATGATACCTTAGTATTTAGACATACCAACGCTATCAGTAAGACGGGTAAATTGTATTTGGTAAAGAAATATGTACTATTATTATAGCATTGTCAGAGCCATTGCGGAATGTTGAAATAATATTTGCCGAGTTTAAAATGAAGTGATAACTCTTATCAAATACGATTACTACTGATAACATTGTTCTTTCATTATTAGCGATAATTAAATTTCGATTAATTGACTTTCTACAGCATAGTGACCTATTCAAATAGTGCAAATTAATTTGTTAAACGGCAACGCATAGTTTTACTCCTGGTGTTTAAGGCGTCCATTGGTTTGGTAATAAATGGACCCTACGCTCGTTTGCCACATTGTGTTATAAAAAATAACTAGTACATGGTACTATGTACATTAAAATTTCTTACGAAGTAACTTTGGGCATCTGATTGACGATCAAATCTATGGCGAAGATCATTCATTATCATCATCATCACACACATTCCTAAATGCATTTTATATGAAAATACGATAACGGACTCCAGGCTTGTACTATAGATGATACTTATTGTCGCATTACATAAGTCATTGCATTATCGCTTCGTTACGTCAGCGGATAAAGAAATAATTACTACGCTGATATGGTGTGTGACAAATGTTAACTACCTTGCTCGTGGAACAGAAAACAATATATTGGAGGAAAAACAAGTGACATGGCAAAAAGTGGATCAAATATATTATTATGACCGTATTGGAGAAGGATAAGTGGAACAGCATAAAGGCGACCAAAGGTGATATATTAGGGAAAAATCAAGTGGAAGTATATAAAGACAATCAAATAGATAACATATTGAATTGGCATGGCATAAAGTTGAGCAAATTGATGACCATAAGGGAGAAGAATAAGTGGATCAGCATAAAGGTGACCAAATAGGTGATGATGTATTAGACAAAGATCAAGTGGGTGTTTATAAAGACAATCAAATAGGTAAATCATTGCAGTGGCATGGTATCAAGTCGAGCAAATAGATTACCATATTGGAGAAGAATAAGTGAAACAGCATAAAGTAAATGTTAGTCCGTTAGGTTTATATTATGGACCAATATTGTTACATATAAATAGTATTAAATTGCCTAATAACTGAAGCTAATAAACAAAATAAAGAGAATCAAATAGTTGAAGCATTATTGGATATATTAAAAATATTATGCGAATAATATAATACGTCCTCGGCATAACGCAATAATCTTATAAGTAGGTAATACAGTCAAAGCCTGTAAGATAATAGTTATAGATAATATAATAAAATTATTGAACAACCTATTCGTTCTAACATACTACAGTTGCGATACGTCTACCTTAGTGAATATTTCCATTTGAAGATAAATATACGGTGTACTGTAAATATTGTATACTATATTTTTTGATGATATTTTTCTTAATACATACACTGATTTCTTACTGCAACGTACAGACACTTGGACCATACCTTTCCAGGTAAATTTATGGTATTCTTCTCCATCCGATTTACAATGTACATCGGAATTTGAATGTTATTTTACATAACTTGTAATAATGACGTAGTTGTGTGTGTAATGAAAACATTCAAAGTTCATTCATTATGTTCATGTTTAAAAACAATTCTTGTATGGCTTTTTTCAAGAAGGGTATAATAAGGTTTCTTAGGGGTCGGCAACGCGCACGTATCTTCTTTGGTGCTTCAGGTGTCCGTAGGATGGTAACCTTTTACCATCTGAAGGACCGTATGCTAGATTACCACCATCATGGTAATGAACAAATCTATACTTCTAAATTATTAAAAATAGTAGCAAATTAAATTTGAACTAAATTAAAAAATACTTATTGACAATTATGCAAAGTAAAACACTTCATTGATACTTCATACATATTGGATTTTATCTAAAGAATCGAGGAAGGCGGCTGAGGAGGTCATCTCGATTGTATTTAATCTTGTAGGTACTACGAGTGTGACAGGTGGCCGGTCATGTTTACGAAACAATCGGATAGATAACCGCTTATCACATGAAGGTGCATTGAGAAAAATATGACTGCTGCAATATTTTGAAGATAAAGTTCATCTGGATACGCTAACTAATTTGGAAACTGCCCGTTTTTCTTAGAATCACCCTCTTGGTACCGTAGTTGTGGTCAATACGTGAGGGTTGGTTTGCGCAGTTCAAATAGAAAAAGTAACAGACTTTAAAGAATGCTGAATTATCAGCGCGCAATTCATCTAGTTTTTAATTTTTAAATTAAGCGTTTAATATACATTCAGACAGCTTGGATAAGGAGACTGCATTTGAGAGAAGCTTGGCTGGCTACTTTAGTAGTCTCGGCTCTACACGTACAACGGCCCAAATGAGAGGCCGATTGCGGAAAATGGAGTTCAATTTCCATTTATATTTGTACATCCAGTCTCACAGATTTGTAAACTATTACTATGTTTTTGTACATACGAGCGACAAACGTTTGTTTCTACATTGAGTTAAGAAGCAGAGAAGGAGAGTAGGGAGAGTGAGATAGATGTAAGTACTCACCGTCTGCATCAACTTCGTTGATCATGTCTTGCAACTCGGCTTCTGTGGGGTTTTGTCCTAGCGACCGCATCACGGTGCCCAATTCTTTGGTTGTGATCGTGCCATCGCCGTCTTTGTCGAACAGTGAGAACGCCTCCTTGAATTCGGCGATCTGTTCTTCTGTTAACTGATCCGCCTGGAACAAAACAACATTATATTTAGACACTTTCTTTTTTAGCATAGGGGTCAAACGAGCTTGCCTGATGACCAGTGACTACCGAGCAACACCAGGGGAATTGCTAGTCCGTTGCCGATCTTTTGATAAGGAAGCTCTTTTGAATGTTTTAATATCATATCGGTTAGGAAATATTGCTATTACTAAATTTATACGAGCTGACCGAAGTAAGTTCACCGGCTGGTATGACGGCCATGGCCATACATTGCCATTCTCGAAGACTAAGAAACACCACAACTTGTAATATCACCCTTCAAAACCGAACTTACACAAGTAGCTTAACAAATTGTTGAGATACATGTACCCCAGAACGACTGTGATATGACGTCACGTATGACGGAAACCAAGATTCCAATAACAAAAAAAAGACAATCGAATCGCAAACCTCTTTGGAACACACTTGACTAGACTAATAATTAGAGCCTTTGCCTATACTAATAATTAAAAAAAATATACGCACACTTGTGACAACCATGTTGAGTGGAATATGTACTGGATGGCTGACAGAGGGAAACTAAGCAATAATTTGTGCCATATCACCTGTGTGATAAGATACAGTGTAGATTATATATAATTACCTCTGTTTGGCCTTCTGACACGTCACACTGCGGTCTACTCTACAGATAACAAATACTGCATTACAATAATCAAGCAGTGGAGCAGATTCATTCGGATACCTACAAAATTACACATAGCATGTGAAATGTAGGTACAGATATGCTCTGATAATCTATATTCTTATCTTTGATAATTCACTCTAATATTATAAACACACAAGTTGGTATGTCTGTTTATTTGTTACATTTACAGGACTTAACAGATGAATGAAATTTGATATGAAGGGGGCACTTAACTTTATTTTTCTAAAATAAAAGTAGCCGTTACTCCTTATTACATCAACTACATGCGCCAAAAGTGCCAGACACAGACAAAAATTTAAAAAAATATTATTTTGGTGTATGTACCGTTTTATATTCATATGCATGTAGTGAAAACCGGTTATTTCAATATTACAAACACACACTCCAATTTTATTTATATGTATAGATTACTGAGTAGCAGGCCTATCTATTCAATTGATAAATCGTAAATACTTTATATAATCTTTCTGTCTACCTATAATTTCAAAAAATGGCATACAGAAGCATGGAGTTGGTATTCTCAATTATTGTAAATTAGCTGACCCTCGAAATTTCGTGTGCATCACACTTATCATATATATCGCCTAATTTACATAATATCTTTTTAAACTATAGCCTGTATGTTATTTTGGCGTTTAAGGTATGTTACTGTAAAGTTCAGCCATCCGTTTTGCCACCAATCATCTGCTTCTTCCTTATCCCATTTATTTGTGTGGTCGTCGTAATATGTTTTTCTCTTCCATTCATCCCTGTTCGCAGTCATCGCGTTATTTACTTCCTTTCTTACCATATCATCTTTCACACAGTCCATCCATCTCTTTTACGGCCTTTGTTTTGCCACCACCGTAGTATAAAAAAAATCAATGGCTAGTTAATATAGAATTTCATCTAGCATCGAGGGTGACGCAGCTGGAATCGAGTCACGTGAGTCCCGGGTTCCTACTTACATGCTGAACACCTTCATGAAGGACTACTGGCCGAAGGGTGTGGTGTATCGGTATGTGTGAATAAATGATTTTCTATTATATTCTATTCTATTCATACGCATCAACCCCACATTTCGTGGTTTCATAATCGAGTAGGTACTAGGACAATTCACACAGCGCTATCTAGACCCAAGTTAAGCTAACTAAAGCTTTTGTTATGGGTACTAGATAACTGATACATATACTTACATTTTTTTTTTGTAAATACATACATATTATACATAGAAAACAGCCAGACCGATACAAACAATCATACTCATGAATACAAATTTTTGTGCCGTGCGAGGAATCGAACCCGCGTCCATCGGTCGTAAATAGGTGTGCTAGACCGCTAGACCACCGAGGTCGTTAATTTTAGCTGCATACCACTTCAAAAAAGACCTCAAACCTTGCGTACATCTTATTCTAGCAATCACATTAATATTATAAATGTGAAAGTTTGTGTGTGTGTATGTTTTACTGATAGCCGCACGTACCCCTTGATGCAACTTCACGTACCCCTGGGGGTATGTACCACTAATTGCGAAACACCGACCTAAACGAACTAGCCTTACTTACTTAGGAAGCATCTAACAAATGACATGGTACCTAGCACTGTGACTATCTCCTAATGGCCTTAACACAGTATCTGATTACAACTGGAAGGGTTGATTGCAGATAGATTAAAAAAAATATGCTAGTGCTACATGTTTCTGCCAAAACATGCTACCGGAAACTTCTAGAATTTTTATTGTGGCGTAAATGGCTTGATCATTCTGCTTGATAGTTCAATTGTTGTCTGTCTGTTGACAACAATTGAACTATCAGTTCAATTGTTGTCTCATCAGTTTACTGAAAGAGCTTACAACGCAAGCTGCTTGGTGATTACAATATGTGAGACACAGGTACCTGGTGGTTATAATATGTGAGACAGAGGTACAGCAGTTCACTTTGTATTAAGTTTACTTTAGTAAAAATTATCTGTTATCTGCTTCGTCATAGTCACATTATAGAACTGCATAACTGTTGGAAATTGTAGTTGTAAATAAGGTTACAATATGTGAGACAGAGGTACCTATGCAGATCACTTTGTATAAAGTTTACTTTGGTAAAAATTATCTGTTATCTGCTTCTTCATAGTCACATTATAGAACTGGATAACTGTTGGAAATTGTTATTGTAAATAAGGTTACAATATGTGAGACAGGTACCTATGCAAATCACTTTGTATAAAGTCCACTTTGGTAGAAATTAATTATCTGCTTGTCATTAGGCACATTACAGAACTGACTGATAAACTCATAATTTCTGTCAGGTTGACCTCAATTCAATTCCTCTGAAAACCATCATGATAAATTCTTTGTGAATTTGCTATGGTGGGCTAACTGAGCTGACCTTGTGTTCATCTTATACTCCACTGGTGCCCCATTCGTGCAGGCGGGTACACCATTCCATTCTCATCCATAAAAAACATTTTAGTATTTGTGTAACAGTATTACACTACTAATAAATTCCTTGTTAATTTGCTGTGTTGCACTAACTGACCTAACCTCATGTTCATCTTCACATACTCCACTGGTACCTCACCAGCACCCTTAGTGTAGGTCTAAGCAAGATTACATTATCCATAAAAAAAAAACTGTAGTAATTGTGTAGCAGAATTCACTAATAATATTGTGATATCTTAAACCAAGGCTTTCAAAATAGCATAAATCATCCAAGTATGGTGCCAGAATTAATAGAAGATGAAATGAAAAAATGAAAAGATGAAAAAATGAAAGGATGAAAAAATGAAGAAGATGTTATATCAATTATATAAGTATTTGTCACACCATTAAAGAATAGAAGAAGGTAGAAGATAACACCAGATCAAGTACAGCAACATAGTTGATGGTCTCAGTGGTCTAGTGGTTTAGCATGTCTGAAGGTTGCAGGTTCAATTCCTCGCATGGCACAAACATTTATATTCATCAGTATGATGTTTTGTATTGGTATGGGTGATTTCTATGTATAGTATGTATGAAAGTACATAAAAAAGTATCTATATATTTGTATCAGTTGTCTAGTAACCATAACACAAACTCTGCTATGCTTGGACTAGATGACGCTGTGTGAATTGTCCTGAAATATTATTATTAATATAAGATCAATACTGTAAAACTAATCAAAATCATACATCTAACCAGCATGTGATAACATACTGTTTATGCCTATAATCCTAATAATTATATTACAGATATTGAATATTAATTTTGTGATATAGCAACACAGTATCAGTAATGGGAAGTATTTATCTACAATCAAGGTCATTGTATACAGCAATTTAAAAGTATGCTAAAAATATAACATGAACAGTTTCCTGCTGTTATCAGTGTGGCCAGGCAGTAATTAATATAATAATTTACAATAACTCGAGATTACAGCCATTGTTTTCAGATGTTTTTCATTGTATTCATAACTAGCCGTACATGCAACTTCATCCGTGTGGAATTTAACTTTTATTGTATAAAACAAAAGTAGCCTAAGTTACTCCTTATTACATTAGCTACCTTCCAAAAGAGGTCTCATCAAAATTGATCCAGTAATTTCAGAGATTAGACAGACAAAAACTGTAAAAAATGTTATTTTGGTATATGTACCATATTTATATTCATATACATGTAGTAAAAAACGGTTATTTCAGTATTACAAACAAACACTCCAATTTTATTTATATGTATAGAAGTATAGATAAATGACTACAATGGTTGTACAAAAACATCTATGCAAATAGGAACTATTCTCTTATGTCACAAGCAATTATATATACATTTCTTTTAATTTATAGTATTTGTGGCCTATTTACAATAATATTTGCACTATAGATACATTAACTTCATGCATAATTAAATGAAAAATAATTTAATCATGTAGGACATGTCAGACATTTTTAAATATCAGTTTAAAAAAAAATCCTTACTGTCCAGTTCTAATTACAGATTTAAATGAAAATAACTTTTATATTCTCCATTTCATATTTACTGCACTTATGTCACATTATGCCTGTATGAAAAATGTATTTAAGTATTTTTATTGTGCTGTATTCAGGGGCATTGAAAGAAATAATTACATAAATGTGTAAAAATAAATTTATTTTTTTATTAAATAAATTTAAAAAAAATATTGTCTTTGGGTTACACCCTCTCTATGGTATAGTCTGTGACAAGTCAGCTATATAAATGTCCAATTTGTTTAATAATAAAATATAATATATATAAAAAACCACAATTATATAGTCATAAAATGGATAATTTTTTAAGGTATTTTGTTTAGAATTAGATGCTGCAATTTTATGTCTGTTTTTTATTTTATTTTATTAGAATATACTAGCTTATTGGAAAATGTTTATAATCTGTGCCTTTGTCTAAGAGATAAAATAAATAGGGCAAAATATATGTCAGCATTGTTTTAAATGTACATATGACTATAATTTGTGATAATTGGTTAAGTCGTTAAAGATCTCATTAATATCACACACATCAATTTTATGTATTGAGTAATTTTAAAATTATATTCCAAATTAGATATACCTATATTTTAGTGAAACATACCTCAAGAATTTTACTATCTATTTATAGAAGTTACACCAATTTTAGTTGATGTCACAACAGACTACCCTATTGTATACAAACAATCATATCCGTGAAACAGGAATACGCCAAATTAGGTATTACATTTGTAATGAAGACATTTCAAAGTGACTCAGAGCTCCAAATATGTAAAACAAGTTCTCGTGACTTACTAGATTGCCTTGTGAGAACACTGCTTGCATATAGTGCAGTGGAAATGAGGAATGAAGGCGCAAACGACGCCAGCCGAGTTTTACTCGTATGTAAATACACCAATAAGTACCGGTGGACGATATTCGGGCCTAGTAACAGTGCTCGCTCTAACGTCTCCCACATTACCATCGTGTGCAGCACGGATCCCTACACCGGCCGACACCAGCATACAGAGCCGGAACAAACTGCGTATGTGAAATACTTGTTACGCGATGAGTCAACGTTTGACAGTTGCGGCCGGCCGATCGATTCCCGTCGACGGGGCGCGACGCGGCCTCTGCACACACCGAACGCACGAAAACCACTTGTTTTCTACTAGAAACTAGCTACGCGCCATTTTAAACCGTCATGTACGACCGGCTTCGATTAGAATCTAACGTCATTTTCACCGGTACCATCTACGGCACTATGGCGACGGATGTTTCTCGAGCCTCCTTTCACAAAATAGAAGAGACAGTAGCACCTCGATACCGTTTCGGGGCATCCGCATCTGATGATGCTCCGTCCTTATTATAACTTCAATCGTGTCGCCGTTCCGCAATGCGGTAAAAAACGGCCATCACAATAATAATGGAGGCCGTCATCACTATAAACACCGATTCACTAAATCGCAAAAATACACCCAGCCGCAGGGCCAGGGTGATCCCTCGAATGCACTCCCGACACCTTTCAGAAGAAATAACACTCACCATTGTAGATTAACTTGGATTATCTGGAGCTACACTAAAAAATCACAGACTACGCCGCAAAAGCGACCGCACGGACCGAGGATTGAAACGATACTGCCGCCCTCTCTCGCGCGAGCGGCCGCGCCGGGAAACTCGCGACCGCGATTCGCTAGAGCTCGGTCGCGAATCGTTCCGAATAGTGTATTCGATTCACCGTATTTTCATATCCGGTTTTCGATTTTCGAAATCGTATCGCACTGTGCTTGTGTTCGGTTTTAGACACGATTTTCTCGAACGTCGAAGTCCATGTCTCGGGACGCACGACACGGGATTACATTTAATCCGCAAAGGATAGTGGGTTTTATATCGGGCGGGTGCGGCGGCGTGGAGTAGCGGTCGGCGCGCGCCGATTGGCCGCCGCGCACCTGCAATGCGTCACTGCGGGGCGCTAGCGAGAAGCGACGGCCGCGGCCAGAGAAGCGCGAGCGAGCCACGAGCGACCAGTATGAGCAAACGGCGGGCTTCTCCACCGCTGGTGTGCAGTGGCGGTGGCCGCTCCACTGCTCCCGATCTGCGATCACCCCGCCCGATGGCCTAGTTCGCGGTCGGCGGCGAGGGCGCGCCGCAGTGGCCGCCCGCAGACGCCGGTCGCGCTAACGAGATAACAAGGAATGTGGGCTGCCGGCAGCGCAGGTTTCATTGGCGTCGCGACTTGTACTCATCCAAGTACCTACGATGCACTTTGATTACCATAAGTCGCGATGTCATTGAACAACAGGGCACAAATATAAAAAAAATCACATATTCCAATTACAATGAAAATGTAAACCTTCAGATGTCCTTTGTTAATAAAATAAGCTTTTCAAAGTCGCGACGTCACAGAAACAAATATAAAATGAAACCACATATTCTCAATTACAATGAATTAGGAATGAAAATGCAACCTACAACCTTTTCCTAAACTAGACAAACTCTCGTTCTACTTGAAACATTCCTATTAGGTTCATTGGTATTGTCTGAAAAACAAGATGATATCTGCAGGATCCACTCTAAATATTAATTTGCACAGCTGGCATACTTCATGTAATAATGAATGGGATGTTCCGCAGGTGCCACAACGAAGTATAATGCCATGATGATCACGGCGTTGTTAATGTCTGAGAAAACGAAATGTGACATAAGTAGGTCGCCTCATTACACGTTATTCTCACCAACAATTAAAAAAACATAGCAACACTGACGACGTAACAACATTTAACATTCAAAATAATATAAACACATTAAGCATTACTTATTTTATTACATTACAAACTACATTTATTACAATAGAATTACAATTACAATTACTGTATACGACAGCTTTTTGTGAGCTAATTTAAAAGATCAAATAGGTACTTCATGTAAAGGTTTTAATCCAGAATATGATATCCCTGCGTACGCATCAAACACTGAAACCGGTCAATAAACATGATTAATATATGTTTAACGCTTAATATGTTAGCAGAATTATTAAGTCATCAAATCCCACGTAATATGAAACCGGTCAATAAACATGATTAAAATATTATATATGTCCATACCATGATAGACGATTACTCTTCAACCTCTCTGACACCGGTGCCACTTTCATTAGCAGAATTATTAAGTATTAAACATAAATTTCAGCTCTGGACTATAATAACATATATAAAAATTTAATATATATCCTACCTACCTACTACCTATATATAACCTTCATAAAATAATCGATTTTAAATTAATCAATTCCATGTATCTAATCGATTTACACATTGAATGACAGAATTGCAGCCATCTAGTGGCTAGTAGCGTAAAGTTGCAAATTGCACGATCATCGGGCTGTTTCAATGTAACGGTTTATTTCCGCATTCGTTGAGTTCGTTCATCATTCAATTATTCGAGAATCGAACGTTATTTTTTGTAAATGTTACATGTTGTAACTAGTAAATGTCAAAAACGTCAAAGTCATGTATGCACATTACACATTTCAGTCATTAAAGTACGCTACACGAGTAAGGACGGACTCATTACGGATAAATAAAACAAAAAAAAAATGAAGGACGGACAATTCATTGATCCCAGTAAACATCACAAACCAATATGGCTACCAAAGTTGAATCTTCTCTTATAAATAAAAACGAAATAAGTTATGGTAATCTCGCTAAAACTCGAGAACGGTTGGACCGATTTAACTAATCATTAAATATTTATATTTCCAAGGAAGGTCTAAGTGGTGAGAAAATATGACGAAATTGCATGGAAAATAGTAAAAATGACAATTTTATTTTCTCATACAAACTGTTCGTTCATAAATTTATTCCGTAACTAAACGTCAAAAAATCTTTGACAATATTTAATTCCATGGCGTAACGGAATTCGCGAGGTCGCGGTCGTTTTACGTTTTAGATGAACATTTGATTTTAAATTTTAGGATTTGGCATCTCAGTGTGAGACAATATTGGTTGGTGTATATATTTATACTACGTGTGCCCGCGGTTTCACTCGCATGACGCAATTTGTAGCCTATGTGTTATTCTGATGTATAAGATATATTACTTTTAAGTTTTATCAAAATCCGTGCAGTGATTTTTGCGTGAAAGAGTAACAAACATCCAACCATACTCCCAAGCTTCCATGTTTATAATATTAGTAAGGTTTTCACTTAGTATTGTTGTAATATATTATACAACATTTACAATACTACAATACTCGAAGCTACTATATATATATTGGATTCCAAGTCTACCAACATAAGAAAACACGTATGTATTCTGTTGTTGGAATTTCGATCTTATTACTAAGTGCATACGATCGTCAAAGGTTACCGTTTATTTGGTGGGCTGTAAGAATATAGCTGTATGAAAGGAATTGCGCTCCCATATTGGAATTCCTGCATAGAAGTGGATGTTGGCTCGTGACACGAGTATGAATGCGTCAAAGGAAAGCCTACTATACAGGTGATGAATAAAGCCCTTAGAATAGAATAGAATAGAAAATCCTTTATTCAAATAAACTCAATTTAAAGACTTAATAGTCCTCACATAGGTGTCCCCCTATTTTTAAATTGGGAATTGTTAGTAATATGACTGATGGCCACGTTGCTAGCAATGTACCATGTCAGTTTGACCCCCCTCCGATCGATCCCCCGTCCAATTCAAACGGGGATCGAAATTACGACGGCCTGAGCTGAGGTTCGAACCCCGGTGCCCTCAGACTAAAGTCGTATCCGTCAGGCGGGAGTTGGTCTTCAGCCGCTTCATAAGTCCTTCCTTGGTTTGGAGTGCCATCTGCATCGCCCCCTAACGTCCGGTGAATCTGTAAAGGTCAGCTGCGGTCAACAGAATTAGAGTAGTCCGAAAAAAAAGTCAGTTTGACCTCCACGCTTTCCCCCTGGAAACTTTTGTGATAAATTCCTGGTGAATTTATCACGGTGGGCTGCCTGACCTGACCTTATGCTTATATTATCATCTTCCACTGGTGCCCCGCCAGCGTAAACCGTTAGCGCAAACGGATGAACTATTATAATCCATTAAAAAAATAGTCATCACAATTCATTTAATCTACCGCTCATTCGGAAAGCTGTCTCATCACAAGGGGAATGAGCAAGAAGCTTGCGTGTTGCTCTTTTAAATAATCCTTGTAACTTCACATTTACAAGTCGAAACGGGTGAATACAAACTTTGGTAGTTTGTATTAATTTTTTTGGGTCAAATATAAATATACAATAAGATTAAATCAGTCGTAGTGATAAGAGCAGACCACTCCCTACAAGCAGCACTCGTTCATGAATATAGTCGAGCGCAGTGATGAGCTGAGATGAGCGCAGTGATGAGTGATGAGCGATGAGTGATCACTGCGCTCGACCATATTTTAGGTCGTCACTAATTTATTATCAAATATAAATACACAATAATTATTATATGTAGGTTCTCTCATGCATTTAAAGCTGGCATTATGACTATTAACAACTTTTAATCTTTTTTACATTATTGAGGTACACTGTACAAAGTTGGACCTCAGTGTTATGTATTACTAGGTACTCGCCCCGGATTAGAATAGAATAGAATAGAATAGAAAATCATTTATTCAAATAAACTTACATTGAAGCTTTTGAATAGTCATAACATTTTTTTTTAATCTACCGCTCATTCGGAATGCTGTCTCATCACAAGAAGAACAAGCAAGAAACTTGTGTGTTGCTCTTTTAAACAATCCTTGTAAGTTCACATTTTACAAGTCGAAACGTGTGAATACAAACAAACAACCAGCACTAATTTATTCATGAGCATGATTGTTTGTATGGGTATTTGGGTATTTCTATGAATAATATGTATTTACGAAAATCTATGTATTTGTTGTCTAGTACCTATAACACAAGCTTTAGCTAGCTTAACTTCGGTCTAGTTGGCACTGTGTGAATTGTCCTGAGATTATTATTATTGATTGTGAAACCGCTTTTTCTTATAAATTGGTTAAGTAAACAGATAAGTTATATAGTTGTTACTAGTCGTCGTAGAATTACGTAATACATCCAAGAATCCGTGTAGCAGGCGGTCGACAGATATCCAACAACTTCTGTTGGAATAACTTTTTGCTTTTCACTTTTAGAAGCGGCTTAATGCAAATCCTGTTGGTCGGATTCCATCGAGATTATTTGAGACTCATACTGACTACTGTTCCGGTAACTGACAGTTTTGCCAACTAATATTATATCGAGGAAACACAAACCGAGCCATATCTATCCATCATACATACCTACATATAAATAAAATTGGAGCGTCTGTTTGAAATATTGAAATAACCGTTTTTTTTTTTCGGAATGCTGTCTCACAGCATTCCGAATAAGCGGTAAATTTAGAAAAAATTGTTGACTATTCAAAAGTGCTTAAATTAAGTTTATTTGAATAAATGATTTTCTATTCTATTCATGAATACAAATGTTTGTGCCGTGCGAGGAATCACACCCGCAACCAGCGGAAGTAAGTACTAAACCACTAGACTACTAAGACTGACTTTTTTTTAATGGACGACAATGAATTAGTGCACCCGCCTAACTATTTTATATATTTTAATAATTTATCACGATGGTTTCCAGGGGGAACCGCGTGGAGGTCAACCTGACTTGGTACATTGCTGGCAATGAGATCATCAGTCCACGTTACTAACAGTCTCCTTTCCCCCTACTAAGACTGTGTATAAATGCTGTACTTAACATGCTTATATTTATTTATTTATTTAAATAACTTTAATGCACGTCATACACATGTAAAAAGTACATATGGCGGACTTAACACCTAATGGCATTTTCTAC